CTGCTGGCCCCCTTTATTTAGGGCAACGTCGGCGGGGGGGGCAGAGGTGGCGTCCAACCGGAGCGACCGCCATGAGACTTAACCTTAGGTGAGCTATCCAGGTAGACGCTAGGAACATCCGGTTCTTGCGGCAGGACAAGCAGTTACCTCTGCTATCAAGGGAATTGGGGTGGTTGGGAGTTAAGGTGGCTACCCTCTTGGAGTATATTATAATGATAATGATGATGATAACAATGTCGATGATGATATTAATGACAGAAATAACAATAATAATAATAATAATAATAATAATAATAATAATGATAATTGTAATCAAGATGATAATAATGATAATGGTGATAAAAATTATAATAATAATGATGATAATGGTAATGATAATAATAATGATAATAGTGATAACAATAATACAATAACAATGATAACAATAATAATTATAATAATAATGATAATAACATTGACAATAAGGATAATGATGATACAACTAATAATGATGATAATGGTAATAATAACAATAACTGTAATGGTAATAATGATGATGAAAACAATGACGATAATAATAATGATAATAACAATAACATTAAGAACTATCAGTATGAGTGATGGTGATAATGATGATGACGATACGAATAATAACAATAAACACAATAATAATAATAATAATAATAATGGTAGCAATAATAATAGTAATAATAATAGTAATGATAATTAGCATTATAATAATAATAGTAATGATAATTAGCATTATAATAACAATAACAATGATAATAACAATAATAATAATAATAATAATAATAATAATAAACATAATTACAATGGTAACAACAGCAATGACAATAGTAACAAAACAACAACAATAATAACAGCAATGATAATAATAACATACGCTGGAAGAGAAACGAGTCTCCGAGTTCATTGATGATACTGCGACGAGTGCATTAAGAACAGCTGAGAGAAAGTGTCTAAAGAGTGCCCTCTGTCTGCGTCTTTTCTTTTCATTTATTATCATTATTATTATTATTTTTTTATTATTATTATTTATTTTTTTTGAGGGGGGAGAAGTCGGAAACATGTGGGTAAGTTTCATGTCGGTTCGAACGAGACGAAATATATATATTTTTGTGTATTTTGTGTGTTTTTATTTACTTATTTATTTATTTATTTATTTTTATTTTTTATTATTATTTTTTTGTAAATTGTAATCTAGGTCTTTTGCATTTTTATCTGCTTTCTGCATAGAAATATTTGTCATTTAGCAAATTAGTTGATTTTCAAGGCTGGGGTTTGGGGTTCCAGAATTTGTTGCACAATCTTTGGTGCGATCGCCCTGGGTGTTTCTTTAAATGAAGACAAAATTTTTAATATGGGTTGGAAAATTTCTCTCAGTTTCAGAAAGAATCTATCTATCTATCTATCTATCTATCTATCTATCTATATACATATAACACACACACACACAAACACACACACACATATGTATGTATATGCATCAATTGCGCATATAATCTGGTCCGACATTTTGTCATCAATTTTTGGACGACCGTATTTACCTTGTTGCCTGAAAAAGCCCTTCTGCAAATCCTGAATTCCTGACGTTGGGGCAAAAATCACTATTTTGAGAGGGATGGGACGCCCCACTGCCCCCCCCCCCTCCTCACGCATGGCAAACGATAAGGGAGTTTGAGGGCGATGCACCTTTTATGCGCCGTTTTATTCTTAAAACTCAAACATTTTATGCATACTCTTGGTTTGTGGTTATATATATATATATATATATATATATATATATATATATATATATATATAAATATAAATATACATATATATACATATATATATGTATGTGTGTATATATATATATAATATATATATATATATATATATATATAATATATATATATATATATAATATATATATATATAATATATATATATATATATAATATATATATATATAATATATATATATATAATATATATATATATATAATATATATATATATATAATATATATATATATAATATATATATATATATAATATATATATATATATAATATATATATATATATATATAATATATATATATATATAATATATATATATATATATATATATATATATAATATATATATATATAATATATATATATATATAATATATATATATATATATATATAATATATATATATATAATATATATATATATATATATATATATATATATATATAATATATATATATATATATATATATATATATATAATATATATATATATATATATATATATATATATATATATATATATATATATTATATATATATATATAATATATATATATATAATATATATATATATATAATATATATATATATAATATATATATATATATAATATATATATATATATATATATATATATAATATATATATATATAATATATATATATATATATATATATATAATATATATATATATAATATATATATATATATATATAAT